CCTTGAGGAGTCTCTGTCCCTCTGGGTTTCTCATTAAAATGAGGGGTAGAGGAGTGTAGATGGAAGATTATCAAGCAGAAAATGTCCTCTTCAAAATATTTTCATGTAAATGCTGAAAACATTGATTCACAAAACAGTTATGCCAGGAGAGTCTGAAAAATTGAGACATTCTGTGTTGTTTTAAGAAAGTAATTAACTTTTGCACAAACTTCCCTCCCATAATCCACTGGGGGAGCAGATGCCCAAACAGTCATGGTACTAGATTGAGAGAATGATATTTGTTTTTTTCTGCCAGCACAGATGGTTCCAGAATCCAAAGTCAATGGAGAGGAAAGTCTGAGTTTATTTGACTTGTACAGCTCTCAGTGAAAGTGTGTGAGGAAAAGCATACTTTAATACCTTGTTTACAGCAGAACTTCTATTTCATATGGAAAAGAAGTCAGAAGTTCAAGGGGGCCTCAAATATTATTTAGTGCACCTAGGACCAGCAAGTAGAACTACCAGTAGGTGGCACCTTGATAAGTGGGGCATGAAAATTAGGGAGACTAAACCAGTACTGGACCTCAAAAATGATTCATTTTGTTCTGTGTAGGTTAAATTTTGAATTCAATTTCTAACCATGAAAGTGTTTTGCAAGTTAAGAGAACGATTAGAAAAAATAAGAGTGTTCTTACAGTGGAAAAAATTTTTCCCTTAAAAAAACAATCAAATTTGCTTTATGAGCAGCGTATGAAGCTCATAGGAATAAAGGCAACTCATTTGCATAAAGACACTTTGAGAGGATTAAAAACTTCCAACAAGGAATGTGTGATGCTTTGGCAGTAAGAATGAGAAAACTTTAATTCAAGTGAATTCCAAATCACATATATTTGGCTAGCCTTCATACCCAAGGCTCTGGACTAGGCATGAAGGTATAGTAATAAAAACAGCTGTTACTTCCTAGAACCTACCCGAGTCTGCCTGGGGAAATGTGCAGATAATTATTGAATAAAGTATACCCTATTTCAGGTCTTATTTTCTCCACACAGAAATTTGGTAGGTCTTGCTTTTGCAAAGAGGATGAAAAATATTTCATTTTTCTTTTATAGTGAGTTTGAAAAGTTCATCATATTTATGACTGGAACATTTATTTTTTTAAAAGAGAAAGTATCCTATCACTAAGAGAAAGGAGCTCATGCAAATTGCTTAAGCAAAGCATAAAGGAGGTAAAGAATATACTAGGAGTATACAGAAGGAAAAGTTTAAAAAGGGAAGTGAGGCTGAGCTATGAAGAATGAGCAGTGTAAAACCAGCTGAGGTCTGGCTATGGTGGTGCACGCCTATAATCCCAGCACTTGGAAGGCTCAGGAAAGAGGATTGTCTCAAAGTTGAGGCTAGCTCGGGTTACACAGAGAGTTCAAGGCAACGCAGCAACGCTCTCCAAAAAAGAAAAGAAATAGAAAAATAGCTGAGCCCTTAGGAGGCCATGGGAAGCTGTGAAGTCTCCCTCGCTCACCGCTGATATTTAGACCAATGTTGGAGAACCTCAGCTTGGAGGTGCAGACTGGATTCCTCTTTGAGCCTTGTCTTATAAGGGATAGGAAGATGAAGAAGTTAGTTCAGGAAAGAAGATGAGAGAAAGAGGAGTAATAAGACACGTTGGCCTTAATTGCTTTTACACTGTATATAAATGGAAAGAAAATGAGAAGTTTAATGGAGTGGAAGAGAGATAAGTTTCAAATTAAAAAAAACTAAAAGATTACTAAAGTAGAAGATGGCTTGTAAAATGACAGCAAAAACAAAATCTGAGTTTAGATGAAATATGAAATTGAACAACAAAGAATAAAATGACCAAGATTTAAGAAAATCTCATCACAAAAACAAATTAGTCTGTTCTAATTACTTAAATGGTGAACGATTAGTTTGAACTTAACAGCACCATGGTGAGGCTATGAGCTAATTTAGTAAAAACCATTATCATACACAGTACATAATTATTTTGAAAATGTTCATGATACAGAGATTTGTTTCTTGGAGTCAACGAGAGTTGGCAATTTAGAACTAACAGAAAATTACAATTTTGTAAGGAATGTTTAAAATGATCTTAGATTCAGTGATAAAAGATGTATAGGTTATTTTTAATGTCCTATATATACTCCAAAATATTTCACATCAAGAAAAAGTTTGATTTTTATATATGTATACACTCTAATTTCCTCTCCAAATAGACTTCTATTGGGGAAATAATTTCCTTCAGGATCAATAATTACTGGCAAAAATTAGAGACTTTGATAGGTTTATTAGCTACAACATATTGGAAAATCTAAGAAAAACAACATAGTGAATAGCATTTTCCAAGTTTGATAACCACTGTTTCATTTGGAAGAAATTATAATATGCAAGGGAGGGATCTAGTGTGAAGTCTTTCTTCCATTTACATTGCCCTAGACAGCAGTGACCTATGCCCTCTGAACAGCGATCAAGAAAAGCCACTGAGACAACCGTTGGAGAATATTTACCAAAGTAACCACATTCTAGACTTGGCTCTTTGAAGACTGAGTCTATGTAGTCTTTTCCATCACCTAGTGGAGTCCCTGAATCATAGGCTTTATTGCAGAAATGCTGGTGGAAGGACCTAGCCTCAAATTCTAGTTCTGTCAATTATAAGCTCCCAAGTGACGAACAACTTACTTATTTCTGAGCTTTAGTGTCTTCACTAAAGTGGAGGTAAAAATAGCTACCATTACATAATTGTTTGGAGGACTAAATTAGGTTCCAATTACAGTGCTTGGGATGTAATAGAACTCAATAAATGATATTCACCATAGTACCACAAGGCAGGTAGGAATGAAATGGCCACATTGCTCACTGTTCCACACACACCTTTGTCCTGATGGAGCTAGTCCATCCCATTTGGATGCCTTCTGACATCTCACTTCTCAAACACTTAATGTTCTGCATGTCTTTTAGATTACTAAGAATATTTTCAGGCAAGAGGTTGCCTTTCAGGCCTTAGAAGAACTTCAGCTTTTCATCCTTGCCAAAAAGTTAAGCTTTATGTGATCGAACCAGCCTGGCAGAATGACTTCCTTGAGGGCTTTTGAAACCTATGCTGGACCAACTCAATCCTTTAAGAATAGCCATGTAGAATTTTCCAAGGTTTTGCTGTTATTGGTTAGTTTAACTGGTCACAATGAACTTAGAACTTCTGGACAGAAAATTAGGTAAAACTCAGACCAGCTAGCTAGGCTTTTGGTAAGAACTTAAAAATGCCTTACACATATAAAGCTGGGATATCAGTGAATGAGTAGGCATCACTAAGATGGTGCCTAATAAATAGGATGTGTTTACTCAAATCTCTTCAACTGAGCACTTGAACGTTTGGAGGCATAAATATATTGGATGAACTGGCCATATAACTCCAACCTGGATCTGTATAAGTTCCTTGTCAGTCTAGCCAATAGTCTTCTCATCATTTAGAAAAATCAAATCTCTTCACTAAGAGAGAAAATGGGGAGAATCAAACTTTTCCCAATATTTTTATTTTCATTAAGATTTTTAGGTAATTTGTTCTTTTCTTGAGAAATTCAAGAGCACTGCAATTTTTTTATACAATTGTAGCATAGAAACAAGCCTTTAAAAATCAGGTAAAGAGAAATCTCAAACCAGCCTTCATTATCTGGAGTTCCCCACCGCCAACCTGCCAAATTTCAAGGTAAACTGACTGGCTAATACAATGCTCCACAAAACTACCAGCAACCCTCTTTCTGAGTGCTTTCCCATCACATAAATGTAATCTATTTATTTGTCATTTCCACTAAACTAAATTATTCTCAAAGGCCAAACATAAATCATTCATTTTTCTATCACCAGAAGTTAGCAATGTATCTGGCACCTAGGAGATAGTATAACTCAATGGTGGATACAATCAGCAGATAATTATTCACTTAGAGATGGAAAAGTTCTCTTCCACAGCAACATTCATTTGTATTCTTAAAATATATTTCAGCATACAAAGGTTTTTAGAAAACTCATATCTTGAATAAAGCTTAAAATTTAGACTTACATAAATTATTCAGATATATAATCAGGTTCCATGGCAAAGCACAGCAAGGGTTATGAATTATAAATCTAAGAGTTGGGAGTTAACTACTATATCATTCCCTGGACTGGTCCCATTCACAGAAGGTATTCACCTCATCTGATGCAAGGGAGCAAGTGAAATATTATTGTACTACATCTTCTTGATTCCAAGAGAGTGCCAATCACTACATACTTGTCACATTTTGCTCCAAAACTGAGAAAACTTAGTTTTCCCTGGTAGCCAGAAGTATTTTCATCAGCACTCAGGGTCTGAGCTTTCTTTTTGGAGATCAGATATTGCAAAAGTTAACAGATTCTTATAGAATCATCAAATACTAAGCTTAAAATTTTATGAATCCTTCCTTCAAAACCCCTATCGAAGAGTCTCATAGTTGAGATTCACAGAAAGTTGAGTCTCATACAGAAAAATACACAGGTCTCATTTTTATCCAAGTGAATGTGATCCTTTGAAGACACTTGCCTATGGTCATGATATGAAATACGGCTTTTCATATTTAGAATGTGTCCTACATTCAATCTTTGTTATACCAGGAAATGATAGTGCAATTTCTTCGTGGGTAACAAAGAAGAAAAGACCCCTCTCTGTAAAACTTTCTTACAGCAAGAACAACAACAATAACACAGTAGAGGCAAGACACCCTCTAACGAGATATTACCACATAGAAGAAATTATCTTGCAATTCGTCATGTCTATCTGACAGATTTCTTTCTAAGGGAAATTGTGCAGAGATTTTATTTCAAGCCTCTAAGATTTTGATGAAAGAAGCACAACAGCAGAAAAGAAAACTGCAGTTTTTTCCACAGAAAGACAGGTGGCGTAAGCATGCAACTCTTTTAAAAAATGCCTAAAGTGATCTTTTTTTTCTCGGGTTCTTTGAGAAAGCTCGCTGGGGCTGGGGTTTTTGGCTGAGCCCGGTGACGTCAGCGAGGCAGTGCGGAGTCAGGCGCCAGCTCCCTATAAGCTCAGGAGCTGTCCGGGTGCTGAATCGTCCGGAGACGCTCACCTAGCGCTCGGGAGGGAGGGACATGCTGTGGACCTTTTCTGCCATCTAGAAAAGAGGTAAGGGTGCTTTTCTCTTTGATTTACTGGAAAGTTCTAAATTGCGTACTCTTTCTTCAGTTCCTAGCTGAGAAGAAAAAGGCTATTTTGGCAGGCTTATATCTACAGAATGAGGTAGTAACAACCTGATGATCGACAGTCGATGTAAGGATGTTAGGTTTGTGCGTTGACGTGATCGAATCTGTGATTTGTAATACTTGCTGTTCGACGTATATTAATCGGAACGCTATTTAGATAATCATATGTAAGAAGAGTGGAAAAGTTAAGGGTTTGAGTGTTGATGCATGTATTAATGTAAAGTTAATCAAGCCTGGCATTTTGTTTCTTTCCTTAATGCATTGCTTCTTCCTCCAAGAGTCAGATACAAAATCAGGAATATAATATACACGCTTAATATTCTTAACAGTAGGTTTCTAATGATTCAAAAGCTGCTGAATACATTAGCCATAGAAGCATCCGGTTTTGGAGCTGTTTTTTCCTTTGCTATTTGCCTTACAAGAGCTCTAAATGAACTAACTATATAAAATTATTACCCGAACTGATCTGTTTGGAAAGGGCTTCTATCTTCACCAAATTTTAGTTCTAGGAAAATAGCTTAGAATGCTTCTGAATAAAAGCTTCCCCCTTTTTCTAGGGTGAAATATTATCTGGGGATATATGTTGGATATGACTATGAATTACAGAGAAATCATACTTCTGAATATGTAATGAAAACATTCATAAATGTACAAGTTATTGTTGTAATGACTATGATTTGATTGTATAATTACCTTTTGAAAGATTTTGATTGGGACAGCTGTTTTCTCTCTCTCTCTCTCTCTCTCTCTCTCTCTCTCTCTCTCTCTTTCTTTCTTTCATCCTTCTTTCTTTTTGGTACCCCAACTAGTTGAATTGCTCAAGTTGGGTATATCCACATGTGTCACTGCTCTGGTGTCAGTGTGCCTGTCTAGTTTAATAGAGAAGACATTTTAATTTAAGCGGTTTTAATAATAGCTATTAAGGGAGAAACTGTGTTCATGAGATTTGGATTTCAGAAAATTAAATTTTAAACCAAATCCTGTACAAGATATTAAAGCTGTTGAAACCATCTTCACTACATAAAAGAGCTCCTACTGGGAAATACATTCTTTGAGTCTTTAAGGTAATAACCATATCATTCAAACTGAACTTGAATAAATGACCAAAGGGTAGCACTTGTTAGGCTGTGGCCTTAGCAATTGCAATCAATATTATACTCTAACTTCTAAGAAAAACCAAATTAAAGGTAATGATTTTTAAAAACATTAATATAACCCATATGTTAAGAATACTTCAAGATAACAGTTTCAAAGAAAATAAATTCAATAGATTTTAGATTACTGTTTCAAATGCCAATGTTGAAAATTGATTATTAAAGGTAAATTAATTTTACAATAATATAAAATATATGATGCATTTTCATTTGAGCCTAAGAATTTTATGGATACAATTACTTGTACTAAACCTTTACTCATGGTAAATGTTTTGGAAATATTCTCTGACATGCATTTAGATATGTTTTCTTTCCAGTAAACTAAGTAATCTAGCTAAGGGGAGTTATTCTAATAGAAATATGTATCTATGCTAAAGAAATTTCTATAGCTACAACTATTTTTAAGCTTTAAAAGTGAAAACATTAATCATCAATATTGTCTACTGAACAGTGCTATTTTCTACAAACAATGTCTACCAAAATACTGTACCTAAGTAACTAAGTTTAATCTATCACAAAAACTGTGTCTTGTGAACTTACTGTGCATGAATTTTATTTACCACATAGTTGCTTGTATTTAAGTACCCTTTTCAGGCTTAACCATGACAAATATGAAACATGTAAAAGCTAATTTGCTAATTCATAAGTGAGGTTTAAAAGTCTTAGAGAAAGAAAATGAATGAAGATTTTAAAATAGGAAGAATTCAACACTTCATCTGTGTTTATCTAAATTGGGAATTATATAGTGGTTATTTTAAGCTTTTCTAACAGTATGAATCACTTAAGATTTCACAGGTCCATGTAAAAATAGACACAGACATAAGACAAACTGAATCTGAACACTCACAAAATAGAAATAGACAAGTAAACTTATGTTCCCTCTGTAGCATCTGTTATTGTTTACTATACACTCTTAAGGGCTGATGCGGAATACAATCATAATTGCATGTTGCAAGAAAATCATAATAAAATGATAAGAAGAAATGTGAAACAGATTATTAAAACAGTTTGTTATTTTAGCATGCTTATATAGAAGAAACTTCATTGGTTTGGCTTTCCTGCTGAAATCTGAGACCATATTCTGGGGATATTAATTGATAATTTAGTTTGATGTCAGTGGGAGAACAAGTTATTTCTGAAAGACATGTGAGTAGGGCTCATCCACAAGGCATTTGGCATGATCGATTCTACTATGGTACATTACATCATCATATATAGTAATACTGCTATGGCTGTGTTTCTACAACAAAACTGGAAGAAAAACCACATGTATTTTGAATAATTGTGTGTGTACCTGCAGTTTTTGTGGCAAATTATTTTGCCCGAGATTTTAACAGAACATTGTATGAGAGAATTATAAATCATCTTGGAACACTTTTTTTTTTAAGAAGCAACAATAGGTACTAAAAAAATTGAGCTACAATTTTTAGAAATGAAACATATATTTGGGAAACCTCATTTCAATATTTTTTTATTGTTTTAACCAAGAAAACGCTATGCAAATTTGATGCAGAGAAGTAACATTTTTTGCTAAACATTCTAGTGGTTTGTGAAGATCATATAGCAAAAATTCATAGATTTTTAAAAGTGTCATCCTAAGTGTAATGTGAAATTATCTCTGTTCATTTTTCCTTGCATGCTCTATTTGTTTTGCTATTGTGTCTTCTATTCCATTTCATTTGTGTTAACTCATGTTTTCTATGCTTTCAGGAAATCTCAAAAACATGGCAGAAGCTAAGACCCACTGGCTTGGAGCAGCCCTATTTCTCATCCATTTAGTTTTCCTCTTCTCTGGAGCTGAAGCTGCTTCATTGCAGCGTAACCAGCTGCTTCAGAAAGAACCAGACCTCCGACTGGAAAATGTCCAAAGGTTCCCCAGTCCTGAAATGGTCAAAGCTTTGGAGTACATTGAAAAACTCCGGCAACAAGCTCATAAAGAAGAAAGCAGCCCAGACTACAGTCCCTACCAAGGTGTCTCGGTTCCCCTGCCACAAAAAGAAAATGGAGAGGAAAGTCACTTACCAGAGAGTTCAAGAGATTCACTGAGTGAAGAAGAGTGGATGAGGATAATACTCGAAGCTTTGAGACAGGCTGAAAATGAACCTCAATCTGCACCAAAAGAGAGCAAGTCTTATGCCTTAAATCCCGAAAAGACCTTCCCAGGGGACATGACTGATGATTATGAGACACAACAGTGGCCAGGGAGAAAGCTCAAGCACATGCAGTTCCCTCCCATGTATGAGGAGAATTTCAGGGACAACCCCTTCAAGCGCACAAACGAAATAGTAGAGGAGCAATATACACCTCAAAGTCTTGCTACCCTGGAGTCAGTCTTCCAAGAGCTGGGGAAACTGACAAGACCAAACAACCAGAAACGTGAGAGAGTTGATGAGGAACAAAAGCTCTACACAGATGACGAAGACGATGTGTACAAGGCTAACAACATTGCTTATGAAGATGTGGTTGGGGGAGAAGATTGGAGTCCAGTAGAGGAGAAAATAGAGAGCCAAACCCAGGAAGAGGTGAGAGACAGCAAGGAGAATACGGAAAAAAATGAACAGATCAATGAAGAAATGAAACGTTCGGGTCAGCTGGGCCTGCAGGAAGATCTCCGGAAGGAGAGTAAAGACCAACAACTCTCAGATGATGTCTCCAAACTCATTGCCTATTTGCAAAGGTTAGTGAGTGCTATGGGAGGTGGGAGGTCCCAGAATGGCCAAAATGAGGAAAGAGTAGTCAGGTTTCTTGAGAAACCACTTGATTCTCAGTCTACTTATCAGCTTATTGAAATCTCTAGGAATTTACAGATACCACCTGAAGACTTAATTGATATGCTCAAGACTGGGGAGAAGCCAGGTGGGCCAGTGGAGCCGGTGCAGGAGCTTGACCTTCCGGTTGACCTAGATGACATCTCAGAGGCTGACCTAGATCATGCAGACCTGTTCCCAAGTAAGATGCTATCCAAGAGTGGGTACCCCAAAGCCCCCGGTCGTGCTGTGACAGAAGCCTTACCAGATGGGCTCAGTGTTGAGGATATTCTAAGTCTTTTAGGGATGGAGAGTACAGCAAATCAGAAACCTTCATATTTTCCCAATTACTATAACCGAGAGAAGGTTGCCCTGAGGGTCCCCTATGGTCCCGGGAGATCTAGACTGAACCAGCTTCCCAAAGCTGCCTGGATTCCAGGGGCTGAAAACAGACAAGTGGGTTATGAAGACCCAAATGACAAGGATCAAGAATTAGGAGAGTACTTGGCCAGGATGCTAGTGAAATACCCCGAGATCATGAATGCAAACCAGGTGAAGCGAGTGTCCAGTCCAGGCTCATCTGAAGATGATGTCCAGGAAGAGGAACAGCTTGAGAAGGCCATGAACGAGCACCTTGATCAGCGCGGCTCTCAGGAGACTAACCAACTGGCACCAGGGAACAAAAGGTTCCCTGCAGGACCCCTGAAGAACGACGAGACCCCAAATAGACAGTACTTGGATGAAGATCTGCTGATGAAAGTGCTGGAATACCTTAACCAAGAAAAGGCAGAAAAGGGAAGGGAGCATATTGCCAAGAGAGCCATGGAAAATATGTAAGCAGCTTTCATTAATTGCCCTATTTTCCCTCTTCCCTCTCCGTATGAACCCCAGTATTTCTCTTTAGTGTGTTGACTTCTATCCTGTTAACACTGTAATATCTTTTACTGATGTACAAGCAGATGATTCCAGGTCACTGGGGAGTCTGCTTCACTTACTCTGAGCTGTTCTCTTGTGTATGGATATGTGTAAATGTTATGACTCTTGGATTAAAAAACTTTCTGTCCTTTATTCAAGAAAGATATCTATGATAGTGTTTAATAGTGTATCTAATGGCTGTGGCAGTTGATACTCACGTATGACATATAATATCCTATAATTCTCTTGGAAGTTTTTAATATTCATTGAAGTATTTTGTTACTGTCTGTAGTGTTTTGTGGAGTACTGGAGCAAAACCAATAAAGCATTATACATATATAGTTTTATTTATAAGGCCTTTTCTATTGTGTGTTTTATTGTTGATTAATTAATAAATGTTATTTCTGGATACCTTTGGAGTCTTCATTCTGGAAAGCCAGAGACAATGACTAAGGAGGCAAAAGAGTGAATTGTTACACTTACAGGTGAACCAGGTGAGGACTAATGAATTTAAGATGTTCTCATGCTGTCTGCCTGGAGAACAGAGCATCCCCCAGCACCCCATGGTTTCTCTCATACATGAGATTTGTGGAATAGGCATTTTGTGTCATATTTATATCTTTTGCCCTTGATTTATATAAATAAAAAACATCTAAATCTTCCATACCCATAACCAGCATTAAAACAAGATAACAACAAAAGATAAAAACACAATAAGTTACAAAACAAAAGAAAAAAAGATTTATCTCTTTTTTTCCTATTATCTTTCTTGACTTGGAGGGAAGTAGGAGGGGAGGGGAAGGGAATTAAAAAAAGAATTAAGATGTGTTATGCACATGCATTAACTCCCTTTGATGGGTGTAACCATCATGGGCTGAAACATGTACTAATAAAAAACTGAAAATAAGAAAAAAAGGCTATGCATTTGGAAATCAGAAATGACTGCAGACTGGGAAGCAACCTGCCTATTTCCAGATCATCTTGGTGCCCAGAAGAAAGTGATTCTGCCATAGGACCTGCAAACTGATTGCTGGTTAAGTAAGTGGACACAGTCGCACTCTCTCCTGCCCTGCTGGGTTAGGTGGGGCATAGTTATTACAGTGCACGCCACTATGGTATATTAACACTGGAACATATCACCAGGGAATCAATTACAACAGCAGCAAGAAAATATATAGAGCAAAGCTATAAGGGTCATAAACGAAGAAATAAAGGATAGTTATATGTTAGGTACTTAAGGTGGGCCAGGTGCTATACTAAACTCTTTATACATTTTGTCTTGTTTAGTCCATGCTACATCATCTTCAAGGGTCTGTTTCTAGCTCCCCACTCTCTGGCTTTTACAGCTGGGAAAACAATACTCAGAAAAGTTAAATAACTCTCCCCAAACCATCCTGAATTATGAGCTGCCAAAAGCCATCTTCTTAACCATTTCACTACACCTCCTGTTTGGGATGTGCCCTTTTAGCTGAGGGATGTGACACTGGAGAAGGGATTATGGGGTAGTATGGATCACTTCCAAAGGAGGACGTGTGTGTGTGTGTGTGTGTGTGTGTGTGTGTGTGTGTGTGTGTGTCCGGGATCCCCAAACTGTCAAAAAGTAATAAGAGGCCCTGGATCCTTGGAGAAAGCACTGAATATAGGTTTCTCTACCTTTTCCAGACTCTTTTCTGTTCAAAATCATATGATTCCATAGAACTCTGGAATCTGTCTGTGCAAGGGAACTGAGGTGATTGTCTCTACAGTGTTTCTAATCCATGAATCTTTAATCTCAAAGCATTTTCAAGATAGGTAGTTCCTACCCTACAAGGCAGTGCTGTGAAGTGGGCATTGTGGATGCCTTCCTTGCAGAGACCTTTGAATAGTTTCCCAGTTAACTCTATAGAGCCCTTTGAGTCCCAGGCTATTCATATCTGTGGAAACTCAGAGGCTTTCTAAGAAGCTGCCACTGTTTCACAGGTGGTTAGTGGTGAAGAGGGAACTTAACCCGTAACTAATCATCGTTTGCATATATGCTTGTGGTGCTTTCCCATGCATGGAGTTAAATGTAAGAGGACACCAAAGAACAATTTGGACTTCTTTAAGTGGGCAGACTTAGGACATTTGTGTGGCATAGAATCTAGGGAACATATTTATACACCATGCTTTGCAGGTGTCTACCTCCACTGCCTGCCTATTGTGTGTGCTTTTCAATCTGCTGTGTCTAGCAGGAAGTCCTTGGATCCAAAGTTAACGATGGGACTATTCCCCTGCTACCCTGGATGGGACTAATCACAAGAATGTGGGATGTACAACTTTACTCAAGTTCTTGCCTTCACTGCGATGCTTGGATGTTCTGCTGAAAGGTTAGGGAAAGAAAGCAAGTTCACTGACAGAGGCAGCTGAGGGGCACCGGGCTGGGATTTGTACACAGACCAATGGGAGTAAGGCCCTGCATTCCCTGTGCACTATATTGCTTCTTTCTTAAAGCCTCAAACTTGCAATTCACTACCATGATTTTCTAATGGAGGCATTTCCTGTATTGGGATGGGCAGTTTGGGAAATATTTTCATTTGAGATCTACGGTCTTTGCCTGGCCTCCCTAGACATCAGTCAGAAAGCATGTTCGCCTTTTTGCAGGACCATCATATCCCCAGCTTTTGACTCATCACGCTTTATTTCTGATCCAAATTTTTAGAAAGTACATTAGTGTGTTGCTCCAAGTTTAAGAAATGAAGATATTAATCATTCAGTAATGTGGATCAAAACTCAGGTAAATTAAGGCTTCTTTCGAAATAGGGGTTACAAGCCCCAAAAGCAGATAGCTTCTGCAGGTTGCCACAAGCCTGTTCTAAAACTCCCCACACCCCTGTGCAGAAGCCTGCCCTTCTGTCAGTGAGAATCAGATTGGAACCTAGTACTCTGCATGCTCTTAGCAAGACCCCACTGACCAGACCTTCCCTCCCTCAATACTCATGGCCTCTCTACCTATCTGTCCTGCAGGCAAATAGGACTAATCCTATTGTAACCAGATTTCCAAGTCACCCTTTATCGCCCACATTTAACCCTCTACAAACTTTGTATTTCATCTTTCCCAACCCCAACTCCTACTCTATCCCATACTCCACAACCCTTTTTATGCCTTTTGATAGTCAAGGTCAAAATACCCTGTACCAACCACACCTGTGAATATTGTCTTCAATGTCTTCCTCTGAGGGAAACTTCCCTCTCTCCTAAGGTTGCTACTTCCATTGTAGCTCTCTTCTTTGTTTTTTGGTTTTATTA